GGGCAGGGGAAACAGAGTCCCGCCCACTGCCCGCCCGCCCACGAAGCACGGGTTCGACAAAGACAGCGCCGCACTCTTTGAGGAGGCAGGGGGACGGCCAACGCCGCGAATTCCGGCTGTCTATCCCACACCGGCAGGGGACACCGTAAGCAATATTGAGGTATTTCGCTGAATTGAAAACGGACAGAGGGGTGGAAAAGGCGATGAAACGGAGCTGAAACCTGCAGACATAACCTAACACACCGTGTGCGATGAAAGTTTTTGTGCTAGTTTGGTGTGTTAAAGCAGTGTTATTTCAATAGTTTCATTTTTGTGAGCACAGAATGCGCGACTCCTCACAAAAGATACAAAATACTTGTGTTTCCAGTGCTGTGGTGCAGTAAAATACCGAAAATACCATGTGGGTGTGCGTGCTTGCAGCGCCGCTGAGCGAGGTGCGGGCCGCCGCTGGACAGGCCGCCTCCCTGCCGTGCTCGGCCAGGCCCTCGGCCAGGACCACCGTGCCCGGGGACAGCCTCCAGATGCTGCTGTGGTACAGCGAGTCCGCGCCCGACAACGGCATCCCCATCTACCGGTGAGTCATATCTGCGGTTTTACCTCTTGTGCTCGTGGCGAGTTCGTTAACCTGGAAGAATCATTTCGCAGCGTGGACGCGCGAGGGCGGCCGTTGTCACAGGCGCGGAGATGGTCGTCGCCGTCCTGGTTCGGCTCGCGGGCCCGCGTTGTCATCGACGGCGACCTCGTGCGGCTCGTGGTGCAGCCGCTCCGAGACAGTGACCACGGCATGTACCGGTGCAGGGCGGACTTTAAGGACTCGCCAACCCGTAACACGAGAGTCAGTCTCTTCGTCTCACGTCAGTACAAAGGGCCATGTTTAATTTTGTGATAACGATTCCACGCTGTTCAGAGTTTGATGAGTTTGCCGTGTGCAGTGCCGCCGACTCAGCTCGTCGTCACGCAGGCTGCGGGAGGCGCCCGGGTCCCGGTGGACGTGCTGGCGCCCCTCAGCGAGGGAGAAGAGCTCAGCCTAGCCTGTGAGGCCATGGGAGGTAAGTGGACAGAAAGGGTAGTTTTTAGTGGGATGTGGCAGTGAAACTGTTTACTAAACAACGCGCCCGTCTAATTTTGCGTTTACTCCTTATTTGTGTTCAAGTCAGTCTTATCATTTTCCCGGGTACCGACTGAATCGCGCGGGTGCGTTTCGTGTTTGAGGTCGTGACTCTACTCCTTACTTGCGTGTCGCGCGTCCGTCGGGACTTTGCTCCCAAAAAGAAAAAGCCAAAGAGGAAGAGTGGCTGGAGTGTTCGTGCTTGTGTGTGCGTGCGCGCGCGCGCGTGTGCGTGTTAGAAGTAGGAGAAAGGCTGGGTGGGAAGATGCCAGGGGGGAGCGTCAAAGCAGCTCATATGCGAGGTGCTGCTACGCCTATCATCAGCTGGAGCGGAGAGGGCCCGAGACAACGAGCGGGAGGGTGTCTCGCGCGCGCTCGCGCGTCGCGGGAGTAATTCAGAGGCGCACTGAAAGGGCGCGCAACAATAGAACATTGTTGGACCTAAGCCGCCGCGTGGTATTTTAACCCCGGCTCCACCGGCTCCACCGGCTCCACCGGCTCCACCGGCTCCACCACCCCCCGACTACCGCCGGCGCACCTCGGGGGAGCGTGTCCATCTCACTGATGACGCCCAGCCCGGCGCCGCGCCGACCATCGTAAAGCGGCCGCGGAGTACACCGCCAAAGAGCCGCGACCTGCGCCAAGCGCGTGCGGCAGTGTCACGCGCGGCAAACGCGAGGTTTCTGTCCGGGCGAGTGGCTTACTCGTCGACGTTAAGCGCAAGAAAACGATTTCCATAGAGTTCCAAAAGTCCAAAGTTCAAAACTTTTAAAAAAGGCAATGTCATGTGTGCCACTTTGCGTTGCGATTTTTAACCTGTGTTTGAGGGCTATTTTCAGAGGCACCGGGGAGGGCGGCTGATATAAGACAGGGGTCGGCAGCTGGTGGCAGCAGTGGGACGGTGACAAAGTTGCAGCAGCGGGTAGCTGCGCCCCAATCTCGCTCCACTCCTTTATAGGGACCTCAACCCGGCGTGGTCACGCCCTGAACACTGCTGGCAAAGTCGTGGTAGCATGGTACTCTACTGGACAATCTTAGCCCTGACTTTTTTTGCGAGTTGATGTGGCGGACAGGACAATTTGTCGGCCATTATGGGCCGTCGACACAATTAATATTCATCGTGTCAATGCAAAAATTGTTTACAAAAGAATTTCTGCTCGGAATACGAGAACAGACATGGGATGGGAGACCTTGTCGGGAGGTGTGCCCAGAAAAACTTAACGTTGATTTCACGACAAAAGTGCTTCGGTTGTTACAAAGCAAATAATTTCAACTTCGATGTAAAGCTAAATTAAATTGGCCGATGGCGACCGATGGCGATTTCAACTTCGATGTAAAGCTAAATTAAATTCAGTTAAGTTAACGGAATTGATATTTACACCAGTGACAAAGTTTCCTTTGGAACAACGGAAGCACTTTGTGAGGTGAAATCGAAGTTACGCGTTTTTCTGGGTGTGGAACGGCATAATGAACAATCACGAAGCATTTAAATAGATGGGTTTTCAGAGTACAAAAGTAGTGATGTGCTGGGTCACTACACTCAGCCCACGACGTATCCTTTCTCTTTCTTAGTTGCAGCCGAGTACTGGTATGTTCACGGTTTCGATCTGCCCCGCAGGCAGGCCGCCGCCCAGCGTGGTCTGGCTCCTGGGCGACCAGGTGGTGGACGACTCCTGGGAGCCGGGCGCTGGCGGCGCCTCCGTGGTCAACAAGCTGGTCATGCCCGCGCTGGGCCGCCAGCACCTGCAGTCGCTCGTGTGTCGAGCAGTGTTCGACCCGGACGCGCCGCCCGTCGAGAGGGAGCTCTTCCTCGACCTGCACCGTGAGTACCGCAGATAAGTCAGGAAAATGAGTCCGAATCGCAAGCAAAGCGCGGGGGTTTGGACGAAAATAAAAGTGGTGGGGTGTGCTGCACAACAGTGAACTTCTGAAACAACACTGGCTGTAATGGCATTAGTAAAGCGGAGCGAAGGTCATTCTAATGAGTGGTCCTGGCCCGGGGAGAGCAAGGCCCGGCCGCACGCAAGTTTGCAGCAGACTACATTGAGTTAGCGGTGAGTGGACCACGCAACGCCACACCCCCACCAATCGCATCAGCCTAACTTCTGTGTTTCCTGTACGCACAGCTCCCGAGGTTAGGGCAAGTTGTGGAGGAGAGTGTTGAACATTCCAAGACCCTCGACGCCCCTACCTGACTGCTAACGAAACAGACCTCCTCGCCTGCGTTGCTTACGCCACCCCGGCCCAACACGCCCCGGGACGCGCAAGGAATCGACAGTGACAAAGTACTAAGAGGGAAGTACAGTTTTAAACGTTAAATCAAACTGATCCTATTCCACAATATACTTACTGAGTGCATTAACGGGCCGACAATCTCCTGAACACCCATAAGAGCTTCTATGGCGGTAGTGGACGGGGCGGGCCGCCACCTCTAACCGATCCCAACATTTCGTCTGATCCTCCCCCCTTCCCCGTGCCACCCCCGGCCCGGGTCTGCCGACCGAAACCCTTTCCGGAGCCCCTTTGCACCCCCGCCCGGCCCTACCCGGCCCTACCCGGCCCTACCCAACCCACCTGTGGTCTTCTCAAAGGTGCTTCGAGCAATTACGGCCTGAGAAATGTGGGAGCGGCGAAAGGTGCTGCGCCTTGAGTGCCTCGGAGTGTTTTCCAAAGTCCCTCGGCCCGACGGCGGCGCATCGACGGGCCTGTCTCTGCCTGAGCTCGGTGGCGGGCGGGGGACACCAGTTACGCTACCGAAGGAAACTACATCAAGCAAATGGGGAAATACCAAGGCTACTCCACAAATAAAAGTGTGTGGCGTGCACACACTTCAGAATTCATGAAAAAGGGGCCAACAAAAGTGCTTATGGCAACCATAGACGACAACTTCTGTAACACCTGTAATAACTTGATGATGGACAGTTAAAGTAGCTCCTAAGATTGTGTGACATGAGTTGTTGGGACTAGCGAGTTCCTCTTAAGATTGTTTAAAAGATCATTACTACTTGGAACGACTTAAATGTGTTTATCAATAAAACTGCATATTCCTTGTAATTGCATAATAAAATGAATACATCACAACTGAGGTTAGAACACTCCTAGCAGCACCCCTACGAGGTGTGCAAAAGGCATGACACGTGCCTCTTACTTTTCAGGACCCTCCGTACACCCCCGGGGGGTTATCCAAGGCAGTTGTTTCGTGGACAAACCTCGAGGTCAGCCTTGTGCTCATTTTGGGCGAGGGCGGGGGGCTCCTCCAGTGTTCCAAAACGGCGCGAGGACGGTGCGAGGCCGCGCCCGCCCCCCTCGGCCCGCCCCCCC